ACCGAACATTGCGAACAGTCGACACGTTCATTTTTTGGTGGCAGCAACAAATCGCCCACCTTCGCCTCAAAACGACAGCAGCCAACAAATCGATCAGTCAATCTAATAATGAATGGGATTTTCATTGGAAATATCTTGAGTCGGTGTCGTGGTGATCCCATTCAATACTCATCCTTAGAAAATTGTGGAACACATTTTCAAGAATAAATTAATTGATAATCGAATTTCGGAATATTTTCGGTGTGTAGTTTGGAGTGAAGTGCCCCGCTCCTCTTCTCTCCTCTCGTCTGTGTGAGTGAGTGCGTGTAAAGTGAGAGTGTTTTATGTTATTTGTTTGTTGTTGTCGTTGTTTGTTTTCTTATACAACATCATTACCTTTATTTGTTGTGTTTGTGATTGTTGTTCTTCCGTTCTTTTAATCATCGTTGTATCAATAATCAAGTGATTATAATTATGATGATGATGAGGATGATCATGATGACGATGATGATGATGGTGGTGGTGGTGGTGGTGGTGGTGGTGGTGGTGGTGGTGGTGGTGGTGGTGGTGGTGGTGGTGGTGCTGATCATCACATCGTCGATATCGATCGCTATTATCAATGAGTGCAAACAACAAAGTTAATGGTGACGTTAAGGGGCGGTCGCCAGCGCCGATTCTGTGGCGGCTTGCCTTTGTTGTTGTTGGTATTCTTGCTCTTCTTCCTCACTCAGCTTCGAGTGTGATCGATCGCATATTGATTGTGTGTCTTTCTGGCTGTCGGTCGGTCGGTGTTGTTGATTTTTGATTTTTCCGTTTGTTTTATTATTTGGGATTTGATTTGGTTCGATCTGATGTTGTCGTTGTTGTTGTGTGAATTACCTGTAAGATTCTTCTGATAGCATTCAAAGTGGTTCGTTCCGTTCCGTTCGTGCGACCGTGTGTCCGTCCGGCCGTGCGACCATCTGTAGTTCGGTTTTTGTGCATCCAACAACAGCATAGCCAACCAAGCCACATCGGGCCAAGACTATCGCCCTGACAAAGTTCAGTTCATCGCGGTTGATGCTCGTGGTCAAGTGCAGATCCGTTGGCGTTCGTCAATAACGAAAAATAAAACTAAAAGTGTTTCAATTTTTGTTTTCGTTTCGTTCGTACGCGCAAAAGAAATAACAACAACGACGACGACGGGAATACAAACAAGTGACTGACTGCCTTTTTGTTTTGGTTTCAATTAATGGCCAAAAGCCAAAGTTTCATTTAAACCACATTAAATTGAATTTTTCACGCTGGAAATTAAATAAACCAAAAATCATAGCTGGACCGCTGAAAAACAACACCCCAAAACACAGACAGACAAGTCAATCCTTGAACGGCAGAGGCTATAAGTGTTCAGTGGAGCCTGAGCCTTGATATTTTTGAACAACCACCGTTTATTCTCTGGCATCGTCGTACGCTTAAAACTTTGTAAATGATCAACTAAAGTATAGGAGGGAGTAAAATAATAAACCAGGAATTTAGGGGAAATGAAGGGTGAAGATGCCTATAAAATATCCTACAATAGTGTGTAGGGATTTCGTTCTATAAAAAAAAAAATGATTTTTCCTATTAAGAATTTTGCAAACAAAAATAAATCACGGTTTTCTTTGATAAAAGTTCAAAACTTTCTATTAACAAAAAATCTTGTGTAAAGAACTTTCCTTAAAGAAAACATTTTTTTAATAAAAATGTAGAGCATTTATCTCTAGTGCTAAGAAAATCGGAAAGATGTAGAAATCGAATATTATTTCTTTAGGAATTTATTGGAATAGGAATATTAAGTGATGGTTTAGAAAATTCAATTTTTAGGAAAGGTTTAGGGCCTTTAAATCAACTTTTGTTTTTGGAAATCATTGTCAGAATTTTTAGAAAACAAAATTTAAACTTTTGATGATTCTCAGGACTCACTACCTACCACTACTCCAATTTTTTTGAAGCACCAGAAATTTTAGAACTTATTTTAACATTCAAGCTTCCAATTATGAAATGATAAATTTTGAGATCGTAGTAGTGATTTTTCCCATAAAAAATACACTGAAAAAAATTCATTTCAAACCAAGGGCATTTAAATAATAGGAAAAATCTTTAACAAATACCTTAGGGCCTCCTTCCAAAAGAAACAAAATCTGGACCAGCATTAAAAAGTATTTTTCCTGCAGGAAAATCTGTCTTCAGAAAATTAAGACCTCTACGAAGATTATTCTCCCATAATAAACAGTCACTTTCTAATTAAAAAATTTAAAAATGCCTGTTTATACCCTCCACCATATAGTATTCCATACTATATATTAAGTTTGTCATTCCGTTTGTAACATCTCAAAATATACATTTTAAAGCCCACAAAGTATATATATTCTTGATTCCGCCTGTGGAAAACACTCTACCTTCCGAACGAAAAAAAGTAAGTTGATAAAACTTTACTCAAATGTATATTATGCCTGCAGATGTATATTATACCATTTGGTATTGAAAATGGGCCATGTAGATCCACGTTTTGGTATAGCCCACATATAATGGTACCTCCCTATTTTCGGTATTTTTGGCGATTTATGCGACATTATTTACCGGAAATGTTTCAAATTCGGTATTTGAATTTCGTTATGGATACAACAGCCTATGACAGAAAATTGTCTGTGCAGGTCCACGTCTTCGTATAGCCCTCATATAACGGTACCTCCCGATATTTTGATGATTTTTACGACATAATTCACCGGAATAGTTTCAAATTTTGTATTTGAAGTTCGTAATAGATACTATAGGCTATGACAGAAAATTGTCTGTGCAGGTGCACGTTTTGGTATGACAAAAGTTGCTTATGTAGGTACCAATATGACGGCTACATTCGGCATTTTAAAGATATTAAAAGAATTTTTTAAGGGTTTTTATTTTTTTTGAAAATTGCCAAATTTGTTCCAAATTTCGTTTTTTGTGATATATGAATGACATTCTTCGACCTTTTTAAACTTTTGCGGTGGAGATATCTGAAAGAGTAGACCAATATGTTCCCTTCTCACACCAGCCCCAATACAGCTAAAAATATTGGGATACGTAAACGTTGAAGAAATTTAAACATTGATTTCTCACTTTAAGGGAGTTTTATAGCAATTGGTAGGCCAGAATAGTTCATTTTCGATTCTTAATAATACGATATACTTTGTTTGTTGCCTTCAACATTAAATGCTAATGTATTTTATAGCAATATTTTCGATTTTTTTGGAGAAGGGGCCAGGAGGAAAAAGTGGTCCGATACAATCCATTTCTCTAATATAGACCAAAATATAGAGAGGTTTTTCGTTTACGAGAGTTTTTACCATTAGAAATTTTGAACGTTTGCGGGAGGTACGGGGAGGCATTGGCCAATATTGTCGGTTTTCACATCAAATCAAACCGATATTGTCCATCTCCGAACTTGATCTAATATTGACAGAAATATAACGATGTACAAAATTTGGAATCTATCTTGAATCGGAATTAATTAAAAAGAGATCTCAAGTCTATCTTGAAAGGGATTTCATTAAAAAGAGACCTAGGGTCAAAAACCCGTAATTTCGGTGAAGGTCAATTTGAGCCTCTGTAGCATAAGGCAAATGACCAATAAAGTTTGCCCTCTGGAATAGAGAACCTTTTCTCTGTAAGAAAAAAATCTGCCTCAGAAATATCCAGTAGCTGATAATCATTTACATTGGTAATCTGGGGATTTTTCACCGAAAGGAAAGATCCTCTTGGGTTTTCAGGTCATTTTTCTGGAGGAAAAATCCCCTTGGTTTTTGAGGTTCTTTTCGTGTAGAAATAAATCAATCCCTAGAATAAGGGTACTTTTCCAATCAGAAAAAAAATCAGTTTTAGTAACGGAGGACCTGAAATAGAGGACATTTTTTTGTCTAGAACAAATCTATGCTTAGTAACTGATTTTTATTGATTTTTGAGGTCCTTTTCGTGTAAAAAAAATCAATCCCTAAAATAAGGGTACTTTTCCAATCAGAACGAACAGTTTTTGGCAACTGGGGACCTGAAATAGAGATTTCTTTTGTCTAGAACAAAGCTATGCTTAGTAACTATTTTTTTTTTTTTTTTTTTTTTTTGATTCCAATTTACTGTGGAGTTTGTTAAATAAATAGGAATGTGTCCACCCTTTGGAATTTAGTAAAAAATACCATCAATAATTGAAGGGTTCATATCGTTTTAATTTATCGTCAAATAATGAGCACCTCATTATTATGTGAAAAATCTGGTCCTTGTACCGAAGGACCTTTTTCCAGTTAGAAAAATTCTCTACTTATTTTTTAAGTAATTGAACATTTAATTCTAATAAACTTGTTTTCCGTACTTGAGGACATTTTCCACTAGGAGATAAACCTGTTCTTAGATAATGAGGACATTATCTCGAGATTGTTCTTAACAATTGAGATCATTTTTTCTGTAAAAACAACAATCCTTAAAATCATTTAGAATATATTTCCAATTAGAAAAATCTATCCCCCGAACTGGATGACCTTTTTTTATACACAAATATTATCCGTTATAACTGAAACATTTTTTAATATCAAAATTTCGCCTTCAGTAGAAGTCGATTGTTTCCATAAGAAATAAACAGTTCTCAGAAAGTTAATTGATTTATTTAACAGGAAATCTCTAGAAAATGAGATGTCGTACAATAAGAAAATTTCGTTTTAGAAACTGTAATTTGGCTCTTGGTTATAGGCATTTTTTTTTTGTGGCGAAAAATCAGCTGTACATTCCTTAGGACTTTTTTTTCCAAATAATTAGAAATATATCATCAGGAACTCATGTTTTCGTACTTCGACGAAAATATTTTCTACTGAGAAAACAATTTGATTTTCCATGAAGTACAAGTTAGTACTTCCAGAAAATAATTGTTTTTATCTCGAAATTTTCGGAATTAGAATTTTCACATCTGCCCAATAGTGGAATCGTTTCCATAAATAAAAGTTGGAAATATTTAGTTAATTTTTTCTCTCTGTGTGCAGAAAATTGTGATGATAATTCCAAAGTCCAGTTTTAAGAAAATTCCAAAACAACAACAACAATAATAATAAACACAGCTATAGTAGAAACGGCTAAATCAATACATTAGCAAAGATTAAAAACCGAAAGATCAGACAACTCTCATACAAATTAAGTGAAACAACAACAACAACAACACCAATAAGCAAAGCTTAAACGCACAAAAGAGTAAACAAAAAGAAAAGAGAAGCAAAAAAAAGAAACAAAACAAATCCTTTAAACTTCATTCACGCCGCTACAACAGCTGGACAACGGGCGAATAATCGCCAGCCAACCAGCCCAATAGTCGTCGGTCAATGTACAAAGTGCCAGCCGTCGCCGCAGAAGAAGAAGGAGAGGAAAAAGTGGAGAAAAAACATCACCAGTAGTGGAAGTGCAGAAAGGAATCATAAGAAGTTCCCATCATTTTCAAAGCGGCTTTTAAAACTATTTTTTATGTGATTTTTGTTTTTAACTTCTTTTTTTTTTGTTTGGTGCGATCACCTTTGCCTTGTCCTCCTCCATCTGGTTGCCCACGGATGATGGTGTGTTTCCCTTTCGTTTGAGCCCTAGCGGGGAAAAACGTAAAACCCTAAGCAACTCCTTGGCCAATCTCTTAACTCCTTTTCATATTAAAACCAAAAAAAAGCAAAACGAAAACCCAAACCAAAACAAAGTTCCGATAAAAGAAAAAACCAACAACAACAACAACAAAAAATAAAGCCAGCCACACATTAAAACGTATTTAATATTAACTTTCCAAAGAACGAATCAGTACGCGTGAGTCTTTACAAGAAAATTGACGCGTTTTTTCTGAAGGGGCTTCATTGGCAGTGGCCCTGCTAAAACCAACGAGATAATAACGAAAAATCTGCAAATGTGAAAAAAAATTTAATTTGATCTAAAAAAACCACTAAATCAATAGCTTAGCGCAAAATGATCAATCGGAATGATATAATTATCCAGTGAATCATCATCGTTCAATGTATCGCGGAACATGTGTCTATCGGCAGCTGTGACTCATTCAAAATGTTGCTGAAACTAACAAGAAATTATTTCACAACAATCTCAGTGAAAAACCGGGTTTAAATTATTCTCATCGACTTGATGTTCTATTATCAGACCACAAAGCAGTGATACATTTCATTGTGAGCTCGTGTTAATGTTATCTCCTCGGGATATTGAATTATTTGATTTGTTGTGACAATTCACCAATTGTCATTAGCATCGTCATCATCATCATCATCATTTGTCCAAAATCAATTTTGTGAAGCTGCACCGGTTTCATAAAGGCAGCGTTGCGGATATGCGGTTATTTATGGTATTTGCAATTGTGATATTTGCAATGCCAATAACCGGATTTGGTTGGTGAGTACAGATTATTTTGTAACACAGTATATAATTTTCACCATTATTGGATATTTTTCTTCGTCAATATAAATCTAAGATTTGAAGAAAGACTAACCTAAAAATATTTGAAAATGAGAAGACTTAGAACTGGGAGTTGCAGCAAATAAAACGAAGGTTCGTTTTAGATTACGAGTCTTACAAAGCATTATCCAATAATTTGCACCCGCTCTTACCTTACACAGTTAATTCTGCTTTTTAGTAGTTAGCGGTCTGATTCGCAATTAACTGGCAGCCTTCTCACCCGCTCGTATTTATAGGTCCTCATTTCTATGTGGAAGTTTCGGGAATCACAATCCCGTCTGTTATACAATATTCATTTCATCGGAATGGAAACCACATCCTCACACATATACAAACAAACCAATGCATGTAAACAACAAATTTACATAAATACGAGTGAGTGAGAATGCTCGACTAATAACGTAACAATAAGATCTCTAAAGTTGAAACTGAGACATAATGAAATAAATATGGGAAGGAACAACAATAGCTATAGTAAAACAAGCATGTAATACAATAGGAGATTGTAGAGAGTTCCATGTTTTTGTTGCAAACTAAAACAAGTAAAAAAACTGTAAGTTCGGCCGGGCCGAACTTTGGATACCCTCCACCATTTGGAACGAATTTGGCAATTCTCAAAAACAATAAAATGCGTTAAAACTTCTGTTAAAATCTAAAAAATACCGAATGTAGCTATTATATTAGGGTCTATACGACGACATGAACCTGCGTAGGTAACATTTGTCATAAGCCATTACAATATTCAAATGCGTAACTTAAAAAAAAATCGGTTATAATGTCGATAAAATAAAAATACCGAATATCGGGAGATACCGTTATATGGGGGCTCTACGAAGAGGTGGACCTGCACAGACAATTTTCTGTCTTAGGCTGTTGTATCCATTACGAACATTAAATACCAAATTTGAAACAAATCCGATGAATAAATTCGCTAGAATAATCAAAATACCGAATATCGGGACGTGGACCTGCAAAGACAATTTTCTGTCTTAGGCTGTAGTATGCATTATGAACTTCAAATACCAAATTTGAAAGAATTCCGGTGAATAAATTCGCTAAAATCATCAAAATACCGAATATTGGGACGTACCGTTATGTGGGGGCTATACGAAGACGTGGACCTGGAGTAAAATTTTATCAACCTACTTCATTTTGTTCGGAAGCTAGAGTGATTGCCACAAACGGACAGACGGATAGACGGACGGACATTGATAAATCGACATAGAATTTTATGCTGATCAAGAATATATATACTTTATAGGGTCTAAAATGTGTATTTCGAGGTGTTACAAACGGAATGACAAACTTAATGTACCCTCCATACTATGGTGGAGGGTATAATAACTTAATTAACTCAAATCTACTAGTTACATGTGTAACAGAAAGTACGAAGGGAATGATTGAATCAAAATTTCATTGCAAACCTATGGGGTCAGAACCTCTTATTACCGAGGGACATTGTTATTTCAGTTTTTTCAGAATTTTTAGAAAATGTTAGATCGTGCGTGAAGTTCCAGCTATAGTCAAAATTACAAAAAAAAAATCGAACATTTATCACAAATTTTATGTGAAATCATAAGTTCCATATTCATCATTTAGATATAACAAGAATCGCCAGAATCGCCAGAATCGCCGACTTGTTTAGTAAGTTATGACAGATAAAAGTATTGAAAATTGTGACCCTTTGTGGGTTAGGTACCAGAAAGGGTTCACAGATATACAAGGTGAGATAAAAAAACTGCAACAAAGTCAAACGCCATATTGTTTTGCGGTATTTTGGCTCATTCCCGACGAAGCGCTTGCTTGTGGTGATCGACACTTTGGTATTTTTTAGTATCAACCTTGCTTTCCAAAATACTCCAGACACAATAGTCCAACGGATTGGTATCCGGAGATTTTGGTGGCCATTGTGCGCTGGTAATGAAGCGAGGAACCTCATTTTGTAACCATTCTTGGGTGGAATGTCCAAGGTCTGCGGCCAAAATGTTTGCGTGCCCAAGGCATTAATACACCCTCCAGAAAATTTTCGCGATAATATTCGGCATTTATTCTGATGCCACGGTCTATAAATAGGAGCGGAGAGCGACCAAAGGCTGTTATATCGGCCCACTCCGTCACCATGGCTAGCGCTTGAGTTCTGGTGGCCAACAGAAGGTGCGCATTTTCTGGACAACGAATGTTTTCTCAGCGGAATATACCAAATTCGGCAGTCAACAAGCGACCAAGCCAAATGAAGTAACTCTTTAGCTCTTTTGAGTCTATTTCCTATCTGTTACGGTGTAAGTTCTTGCACTTTTTGGAATTTGGCTTTATGGCTTTACCCTGAGCTCATTCTTCAATATTTGCCGAATGGAATATTGCGATATGTTCAGCTTACGAGCCATTTTTGGGCCACTGCGACGCGAGTTTCGATCAAGTCGTTTCTTTACTTTTCGAACTATTTCTGCTGATGTTGCTGTTTTCTTCCGTCCACTTCCTTGACGTCGGGCTATGCTACCAGTATCACGGTAATGAGCGATGGTACGAAACACAAAAGATTTATTCACATTTAAATGCTGGAGTGCTCTAACGATAGCCATTTGTGGTTTTCCAGCCAAATATAAAGAAAGCACACTATCACGCTTGAATTCCATCACGAATAACTTTTGTTCTGGAAAATTCTCACCAAAATGGCTGTGTACGCTTGTAAACAATAGAATGAGCTGTCACTGGAATAGTTTTAACCGCTGTCGGACGAGTGGCTTAGAAATGACAGCAGTCTGAAGTTGCTTGCAGTTTTTTCATCTCACCCTGTATATATAATTTTTTAGTGTCCTGGATACTAATCCTTTTTCTACTCACAATGGATAGACCTTAACATAACTATAGTACTCCTTTTTGAATGTTTAATTTTTCTGCATAGAAGGCTTATCTCAATTCCATTTCAAAATCGCATATCATAACATGTATTGAAGAAACAAAAGTCTACAAACTTTGGTGAAAACGTGGCTAACTTTTTTTATGAAAACTATTTTTGGCTAATCATACACATAAACCTCAAAAGCGTGTATAAGCTTCCTGCAAATTTCTTGGCGTTAGCTCGTCCACCCCATTAATAACCCATCAATGGCCAAAGTTGCCAAAAAAAGATTTTTCCATGTAACCGCATGAATCATAGCCATGTGCGTCCATCATTTATCAAACGTTTTGCGAGTGAAACAGCAGTTCCTAATCACATCATTGACAATGTTGCACTTCCTGCTCAACTCGCACACATTTAAAGTGCAAATATTGATATGCCCATGTGCGTATGTATGTTTTCGTCTTATGTAAATATAGAAAAGCAGATTCATGTCGAGTATAATTGGTTATGGTCACAAGACGTCATCTGTTGGCAACCTTCAAAAATCATACGCTTGATTTATAAAAATCAAACAAACTGATGGACCTTTGTCTTGGCCATAGCAGTGAATGAACGAACTACCGAGCGAATGGCCAAAAATGAACGGATATGACTTAAAAAAAAAAACTGAACTAAAGAAAAAAATTGGATGGCTGCACCAAAGCAACTTATTTCATTCACAAACATAATTATTGGCAGCCACAGCAACAGATTTACGCACACACACTCACTCACGTCTATCCGAACGTTGCCCTCACTCTCTCATAAACTTGACACATTAAAATGTAGAAAATTAATAGAACATTTCACGGCATCAAACATGACAACACACACAGGAAATTGTCACAAGAGCAACAAGAAACAGAGGAAGATGAAGACGAAGATGAAGATGAATGCGAACGAACGAACGAAAAATATCAAAATCAAGATTAGGGCCAAGCAAAAAAAATTGAGGTGAACAAATTGCAAACACACACACACATTCGTACCGTTCTACACAAAAATAGCCACCATCTGTGGGGAACTGAGGTGCTAAAGGGTGAGGTGCAGAGATGTCCTTATTAAAACATCAAAAGCTAGATTTTTCAAAATCTCAAAAAGTGTCAAAATCAAAATCACATTGGCCATGCCATGCAAGACGAAAATGCCGCTCGTCCGCCAACGGACCGAATGTGGGGCCTATCATCACTTATTCCTAGGCGAAAAGAGGTGAATTATTGCAATTACTAGTTTTATGATCCATCTGACGATACAGAATTCATGAAATAGTGTCAAATTGGCAAGATGTACGAGGGTGGTTTTGGATGTGCAGAAACAATTTTTTGAGGTTTCATGTTGGGATAAGAACATTAAGAAGGTGGTTGGTTTAGGACCTTTGAGAAGTATTCTAGGATAGAACATCTTGCAGAGGCCGTCTTTAGATGGAAGATTTTTGAGAGGTCTTCGACAGATAGAAAACTTTGAAGACGTCTTCTACAAAGAGAAGTCCTTTGAGAGGTCTTCTACGGATAGAAGAGCTTTAGCTGGTCTTCTACGTATATAAAATATTTGAGGGTTCTTCTACGGCTTTTAGACCCTCAAGAGGTCTCCTATGGGGGACCCTTGACAGGTTTTCCATGGATTGAAGAGCTCTAAAAGCTAAAAGCACGGTTATAAGACGTTTGAGGAGCCTCCCATGGATGGAAGACTCTGGACAGATCTTCTATGGATAGAAGAGCTTTAGCAGATCTTCTATGGATAGAAGAGCTTTAGCAGATCTTCTACGGATATAAAACATTTAAAAGAGTCTGATCAGGTCTTCTACAGATAGAAAAGTCATAGGAGGTCTTCTATAGATAGAAGAGCTTTAGTAGATATTCTACGGATATAAAACCTTTGAAACCTTCTATGGTTAGAAGACATTTAGAAGAGCCTGAGCAAGTCTTCAATGGATAGAAGAGTCATAGCAGGTCCTCTATGGATAGAAGAGCCTTAACAGGTCTTTTAGGACTAAATGACCCTTAAGGGGTCTTATGGCAAAATACCCTTAAAATTTCTTCTATAGATTAAGGAAACA